AAGGGCATTAAGAGTTTTCTTTATATCTTTAGAGAATTGAAAACTGTGACGTGATGAAAACGCAAGGTACCTAAAAAGACATCTCAAACGTGCCCTCGCACGAACAAACTCTATCTTACTCCTTTGCAATGTTGTGTCACCTATTTGACATAGAGAACACAGACGACACAAGAACACAGGGACAATTCACTTTACAATATCATCTGTACATTTTTTAATTTTCTCAGGTTCCCCAAGCACGTCAAAATAACCGTGTTAATGAGCCCTACAACCTCTTAAAAATTAACTTACCGAACAAAAAAATGCATGGCAAGACGGCAAGGCAGGACAAATTGAGAGACAAGAGAAACACTAACTGCCTTATACCACAGGCAAAACTGGCGACGAATATTTTTATTATATTATTATTGTATTATTATGTTACATTATTCATTTTATTATTTTTCACTTTACACGGTTTCCTTTGTTCTTTTTAGGGGAATATATTACATAACCCAGGATTATTATTATTCACTGTCCCCTAAATTTCGTTGTAACAGGGGATTGCGGGTCTGAAACAATATATGATCGTCCCAACACATTTAACCAACCCAAAGAAACGGTTCTAATCGACTTACTGCATTTTATTAGACCTCATTTGCTTCGTCAGCATTTGCCAAATGTACCTCAAACGAGAAATACGTGTCACCGGCTTCGTAAAAAGTTTAAACAAATTTGACTCAACATCTCCAGCGTCTATCTGCGAACATCCTGATGGTTTTTAATGTGCCTTTTTGGACGACCGACAAAAATCTGTCGGGGTGGATGATCAAAATTAAGAATACCTCTACCTCTTCCTCCGAGTCACTCATCGATTATTCGAGAGAGACGATTCATTGAGGGATGGCTATTATTCGACGAAATACGGTAAGCATGATATTTACTTGTCCCTCGGGGTATGTGATATATTCACCTGATACCGCTCATATATCACATACCCTTTCGTCCAGGTAAATAACCCTTACCTAGCTAATTAATAGGGAATACGACCAAAAAAGCGAGCAGTAAACTGAACAAGCTGCTTCCTGTTTGTCGAATAGCTAGAGACCCAATTAAGAGAATACCCTCTAATACCGAAGTGGTCGAGGTTATTGAGTAAAATATGATGATCAATAGTGTCAATAGCTCAGTTTCGAAAGGTCCAGGAAAACTCCAGCAGTCGACTCTCTGTTTTCCATGGCAGAAGCAATATTATTTACCAACTGAATCAACGCCATTGATGACATAGAATGATTTCTACGAAATAATTTAAATCAAACAATAAACTTGTATCCACAAATCAGTCACATTCATGTGACTTTTGAGGGAAAGGGTAAGTGTTTTTAGCGTGAAGCATCTGGCATCGAGTTGATAGCCTTATATGTACAACTAAAAAATAGCAATCATCTTCGATCACATTCAAGAACCATAATGACTCTTGATCACAGTAAATTGGGCCTGGAAAAAATTCTTGGAAAACAAATCGGGCCGAATTTTTTGCTTTCGACAAGTTTACTTTACAAAATCTTGCCAACATATCTGAGGGTGTGTAAATCAACCTTTTATGCTTTTTAGATATCACATCTGAGGGGTTGTGTTTATCATACAGACCTCGGACAGAATGTAGTATTTCACAGTTTTTCACGACAACTTGCACTCAGTCAATATTCAGGACGATCAATTCTGGTCGCGTTTAGCGAAACCGTTCAAAAACCTTCAAATTACCTTTTCGGCCATCCGGTTCTCCCTTTTGATAAGCCCCAAATTTGCAGTGCGAGCTGTGCTCGAGTGAACCATTTACAGAGAAACAATTTTCGTTCACGAAGACAAGTATTAAAGAGTGTCTAAAATTTCTGTCTTTCAGTTTAAAGCTTAAGTTTATGTTTTAAGCCGGCTTCCCGGTGTTTGCTTTTTTGAAAGATGAACTCGAGGCAAGAAAATCGCTCAAAGTTTTGTTTCTACAGCAAGAGAGAATGATCTTGTGTACAGCCAAATTTATAACTAAATATTCTGCGGAACGTGTTGTCTCTATTTGCAGGGAGAAAATATATCTAGAGACTTTTTAAAGTTCTGTAAGCTTATATCAAACCTGATACAAGGTTAGATCATTGTCTGAAATCTTACAAAGATGCATAAACTTGCCACATAAACTGCGCTCGACTTCATGAAATTAGATATAAAAAAACAAACATCAAATACAATAATTACTCAGGCTTACCATTCGAGATGCTGCAGCTCCCGGAAAGTTATCAAGTAAGGCCAGAATCGCTTGAGACTTTTAAACCCCAGTCTTAACCATCAAGCAAGGTGAGAAACGAAAACGATGCCATCCGAAATCGGATTTCCGACTTCGACAAGCGACGCATTTCTCAACCAACAACCCAATAAACAAACTAGCCATGAATAACAGAAGACTCCTGATAGCAGCTGAATTTCATTTTGTACATCCAGGGGAAAAAGACAGTTAAAAATATTACAAGTTGACACAAAACTCTGTGAGCTTCAGCTGTCAAAGAAAACAAGTTTCAAGATGCTGCAAAAATTTTCCGTATGAACTCCCCTGTCAAATTTTGAACGATCAGAGCATAAAAAGTGTCATAATCAAAGTTTCCACGGCTAAAAAAAAAAAAAACGGCAAGTGGTCAGATAAATCATTTACAATAGGTCCATTGACAGAGAGACAAGTAACGTTATTAGTGAAAATATTATCAATAAGAGAGGTAGTGTTAGATGTTATACGGGTGGGCTTTGTGATCATGGGGAAAAGCAGGTGAGAAAACATGAGCTCGACAAATATCCGGTAATGGTATGTTATTCATGCCGCCCATGACATAACAGATCGTATTCTCTCTACTAGTAGTGAGCAATAATTTTCGTAATGAATACAACAGTGTTATGAAATTTCTTTTAACGAACGCCTGTACAGGACCAAAATCCCTCTCTAAAACAGATAACTACAAGTGAGTAAGAACCAAAAATTCCAACGCTAATATTTCAATCTTTTTTTTTGTATAGCTATATACTCCTAACAAAAATGATGGTTGAGGTGTTTGCAATTTATGCCCTGTACCTGTTAAAACAGGTACAGGGCATAAATTAATCTTTTAAAAAATATGTTAAAAAATATGCGTCGCTTCCTTTGGTGGTACTTAAATAATCTTGTGCTGTTTTTTTTTTTTAAATTCAGGTTACTAAATTATGAGACAACAAGCGAAATACCTTTTTGGGTTCATCATCACGTTCTTGGGTTTTTGCGTCCTCGCCACAGGTATTTGACGAAATAAGCTTTAAGGAGAGAATATATTCGTTATAATTTTTTTCTTTACTACCCTGTAGGCTGAATATTCAGTCTATTGGATGGAATTGTGTGAATATCATTTAATGTGGTCATCCCTGTATTGACGGCATTATCGTTTACCTTATCAAATAAATGAGCAATAAACAATTGTCAAAGGTTTTGGCCATAGACACACATTACATTTCTTATTTTAAAGACTTTAAAGACGGTAATTAGGAGACCGTCTGTTCATAAGGGGACTTTTTTCTTTCAGCGCAAAACTCTACTGTCCCGGCATTTACGATTGGTAAGTGATTAGTTATATATATAGTTTTTGTCTACTTCACTTCAGTGACAAGCACGTTACACCACACAGTTGCCTGAGAAGCAAACCTCTTCATCATTAACCGTAGACTTGCTACAAGTCGACCTCTTGGCGAGCGGAGCGCGCCATATGAAATCCGACGAAGGACTTTTTTGAAAGTCTACATTAACCGCTGTATCGCGCGGAAAAGCAAGTGCGAAAAGAATGAATAAGAAATGCTTTGTTTTGTTTTTTTTTTAAACTTAAATTACTGGCAAAAGACTACACATTATGCGACTAAAGTTATTGTCAAAAGGTTGAGTTTGATCGTCCGGGTGAACGTAGTCCTGAATAGGACTGTTGTTGTTGACAGTGACTGACGTTTCGACAACCTGTGCGGTAGTCATCTTCAGAGTCAAAGTGAGTTGTATCACATCAGGAAATCCTTGGTATAATTAAGCAATAGACCACACTTTTTCTATGGGTTTACCAGCGTGATAATATTTAACCCTCGCATGATGTTGGGAGAACACGAGAAAAGCTTGTAAATTATGAGCCGAAGGCGAGTGATTTACAAGCTTTTCGAACGTTCTCCGATCCCAAGTGGTTATCACGCCAGTAAACCCATGGAAATTATGGTCTACTGCTTTTTTTATAAAATAACTAAGATAATACGCGCGTTCTGGTTGGTTAAAAACATATGGTTTATTGTGCCGGTAAACTCATAGAAAACTTACAAAAAACGTCATATGTCGAGTGAATCATGATTCTAAATGGCCCCCATGTTGGATTTCTAGTGTATATCATAATAGTTTAAAGTGGACCTAAATAAATAAGAATCAATCATAGGTCAGGGGCACCAAACGGCAATTTTCGGGAAAAAATCTGTTCGGAAGACGATTTGAGATCTAGAATTTTCGGAGCATTTGTTGTAAAATTTCTTGCTTGCCTGCCTCTCCTAGCATTTTCGAACATCTACAAAATGGTATAATTACTCATTTTTAACGGATTTTGACCCTAAAAAAGGCCACCTAGAATTTTCTTGAGCCTTTTCCTGGCTGAAATTTTCGAGAAGGTAAGTTTTTATCCCTATAATTTTCGGATTACTAGATTTTCAGCTAGGAAATCCGAACAGATGAAAAGTTTTTAGGGGATAAAAATATGCCTATATCTACCGTTTGAATACTAAAATACGTTCAACAATGCTATGTTAAGTAGTTTTGAACTATATCCTCGTTGGGTGCCCCTGATAGGTTCATACTAATCCCAGAACTGGCGGTAAGACAGGGTGGCCGATATAATAAAACCTTAACAAACAGCCAACAGGAGTTATTCGTCTTCCTTAAACCGGTAGTGGGGCACATTTACTGTTCAAGGATAAAGCAAACAGTTCATTTCAATTTTTTTACAGCAGCTCCACCAGGATACTGTAGGAGCTTTGACGGATCACTGTACAAGATTGGCGATACGTGGAAACCAAACCCACTGGAAACTTGCAGTTGCACTCCCTCCCAATTTATAGCATGCTCTATTATTCAGCCACCCATTGTGATAGCCTGCAGGGACAGCAGTGGGAACACGAGAAAACCCGGCGACACGTGGCTGGATAATCCCCAGTCGAAATGTAACTGCACAAAAGGCAATTTCGTAATGTGCGATAGATTGCATGAGCCAATGTGTCAAGATATTAGTGGAGTATTTCGAAAGAATATGGATAAATGGGCGAAAGGTTCTTGTCTGGAATGCGCTTGCATCAATGGTACCATCAATTGCAATCAAACGATTGTCAATATAACGTATGGGTTATTTAACGCCTCAGTATTTCCGATTTCGGAACTCTACGCATCACAAGCACCACAAACCTCAAGTGCTTGCAAAGGTAATCTGTAAATATATTGGTTCGGAACTAAGTGTTAATCAGAGACTTGAAATTTGGTACATCCATGATTTTCTTTCTATTCTTTCTATGAAACGTTTTTGGACCTTGGCTAAAACATTCTTCTTGAGCTATTACGGCGGGCACTAAGTACGGTATGAGTATTCTAAAATGAAAGCATTCATTATACTTCATAAACAAACATATTCGATGTACACTTCAATCAAGAAAGGTCTCTTTCCTCAATACAGCGGTATATGGATGTGCGCTATACTTTTTCCATATAATTGTCTTGACAATCTTACTGTTAAGAACAGCCAAGACAAAATATTTCATATGTCACATTTTGGTCTATTTTACCCACACGTGACAGTAACATCGGTATATAAAAAAACGACGCTTAAAAAGATTATTTCAAAATTAAATAACTTAGTTGTTCGCTTTATTTCAGCCTTCCATGATAATAAAGGCCAGTTAATCAGATGCGAACGCGAGGGCCTTTTTATCCGCGACAATCATCGCTGTAATGGAATTGAAGAATGCCCGGATGGATCAGATGAAAAAGGGTGTGAAAATGGTGAGTTTTTATGTTTCTGTTGTTATCATCTTCATGGAATCTAATTTTTCTAGAGTGACTCTCTCTCTCTCTCTCTTAGCTTTACCAACATGAATCATTGGCCCGGCGGGGGGGGGGGGAGGGGGGAGGTGTGCACTCCATTCTCCCTTATATAGCCTGTACGGGGATTTGCCGCTGGACAGGGTATGGTTTTCTCTCTTAGTGTCCTACACAGGATATATAATTTCAAGTGAGTCTGTCAGCATACACGTTTTATTCGCTAAATAAATTTAGTTTATACTCCAAGCATACAAAACATAATATATAGATTTATCCAGGGTTGAAAAAAAACAAATTTGCCCGTGCAGAACACTTTTTTGGCACATTTCTTTGCGTTGTTTTGCACGACTACAACGTTAAACGTACAGAAACTTCTTAGTTACACTTTTAATGGAGGAAATGTGGTACGCGTTCTCGTTCACCTTTTTTCAGTTTTTACGTTGCATTTGATTGGTGGCCGCTAGCATTTCTCATTTTGTCACCACCGCTACAAAATGTTCATGTTGTTCTTCAAACGAAAAAATGTCTCCTTTTTTTATCTCTCACTCCAGATCTCTCTCGCCCTTTTTCTCTTTGAGCTTCGCTGGCCTGCCGCCTACTTTCTCTTTTCCTTTGTCTTTGTCTTGCTCTATATTCCAAATGGCAATTTATATAAGCCAAGAGACTATAAAGGGGACAGAGAGGCCATCCCCCATATACACCCTATTCCATAGGTAATTCGTCTCGAGTTATTTTTAACACCACAGATCTCAAGGGGGATTAGACAACAGCCAATCACATAGCGCGAATGTGTTCCGCGTGGATGACCCACGTTGAGAGCCACGCGTCCTTCTCGAAATGACGCAGAACAAAATGGGGGAAAACGCGGAGAGCGATTTTGCTATTCCTTTTGTCGACGAAAACGACTACAGCGAGATTTCTGCGAAAGCTGTGTCAGGGAAACCGAAATTAAAAAAGAATCGCCCTTCCTCTCTTGTATAGAGCTAACAGTAGAGCAGGGAAATCCTTAACACACTGAATATTCTCTCAGGATCATTTATAATTTACAGTTTGAAGAGAGCAATTTCTGGTTTGATGTTTATTTTTTTCAGTCTTTATAGCGATTATTCCTACCCACCTACTTTGTCAACTGTAGGCGAACCCTCCTAAAGCTGAATTTCAAGGGACCATATTCAAGCTCAGAAAGAGAAATAAAATTTCGTCGTTGCTTATTTACGTCCTCCATAAAACGCGAAATTAGGCATTTTCACGTCGTAGTCGTGCAAAAACGGGAAAGAAATGAACAAAAAAGTGTGTTGCACGTGCGAAGTTGTTTTTTTGCTAATTAAACCTATTGTTTTTTTGATGTTCTAGTTGTCGTCCGCGTCGTTGGATCTTAAACTCCCTAAATTGTACAAACGACCGGTTTCAATAGACCGGCGAAATTTCTCATTTTATTAAAGCACTGAGGTTACGACAACTTCGAGTTAAACTGATTTCACGGGTTGTCAAAGAGTCCAGCGATTCCTTTTTCCCAGGTGAGCGCCGACTCATTTGGCTTCAATATTCATGAATGTTCTCGATCTTTTTACGCTTTCATTGCCTCTCGCCCGACATGTTTTGGTCATGCGAAACCTCCACGAAACATCCACGCCTCGCGCGAGGTAACTTTATCCCGATTCTAAAAATAACTCGAGACGAATTACCTATGGAATAGGGTGTATATGGGGGATGGCCTCTCTGTCCCCTTTATAGTCTCTTGTCTAAGCTTAATACTTTAGACAACACGGATACAGAAACAATTTCTGCTTTCCGTTTTCGTCTTTATTGATTCTTTAGTTGTCTCTGCTTTACAAGACGCAGGTGGCTATGCGATTTCCCGCCAAAATAACCTCGAATTGCATTTGGGTTGCCATACCTCTTGATTGAGTTATTTTACATTGGTTTGCCTGTGGTGCGGACAGACGATCGGGCGGGCGGGAGTACGGTCACGTGATTACCAAATTTTCTCGGATGGGTAGATTACTTCATTTACTTACCTATGATGTTCCATTGCGCAAAACCAAAGACCATTACGTGAACTTGCCCTATTGCAATTGCCATTAAATAGTTTTAAAACCAGACGGCCTGCATTTCGTCCTTTATCCTTAACAGGATATTTAAATAGGATTTTTTTTAGCAAAACTTGTAATAAGAAGTTACTATTATTATGCCTATGTTATAGTAGAAAAACCACACAAATAGAAGTACATACCTAAAAAAACTGCTCCCCACATCGACATGCGCATTTATCTCGAAAAACGCGGTGCCTACAGTACACACCCAAAAACGGAGCGCGTTTGGAGGGAGTACATTGAGCAGCTATCAAAGACACAAATGTCTAAAATGGACACAAGGGTAATAAAGTCCAGTCGGTAAGAAAATTTGGAACCAAATGAAAAGAATGCTTTTTCCTTACTTAACTTTGGGATTAAGTGGGAATAAAAATTTTTTTCAAGCTAATATGGTGATTTCCAAGATCTTTTCCACGTTTCACCACCTCTGGTGCTGGTAGACTCTTCCTAAGTGCTATTTGTTCTTTCTTCATTAATTATTCAGTTATCCACTTTTACGAATGGTCTTAATGCATTTATTAAGATAAGTAAAGAGTAAACAGTGTAGCAAACAGGTATTAAAGGATTACAAGCCACTATGACGATTCAGTATGAAGACTGTATGCAAAAACAATAAATGAAACAATTCCTTTTTGATCTCTGTTGTGGGCAAATCGCGTACCTCACACTTGTATGTTTATCTAAGCTATCAACACCTATGCAAAAAATTGGCAAAATAAGGCATCTAATATTTTGCTTCAGCCAGTAGTGAAAATATTTTGCACGTTTTCCTCAGAAAAGGTATAACAACCGATTGATAACATATCCGATCTTCTTAAACTACAATCTATGGACTCACGGTTATTTAATTGGGGGAGGGAGGATGGGGGCTCTAATGTCGGTTGTCTAACACTTACCTCGCCATACAGAGAACCTCTATGCGCACATACTAATTGTCTAGAATTATTTTGTTATCATATTCTAGAGATTTGCAAGGACGAAGAAGGTGGTACTTTCCTGATAAACGAAAGCTTAAAGGGATGGAACGTTTCTCCTTGTCTCAGTTGCCAATGCAAAGATGGCTTAACAACATGTAAAAGAGACCTAACCATTAACTTTCCAGGATATTTCCGGGGTATGTATAGCCTTGAACAGAACTGTACTCAACCATCATGCAGCGTTCTGAAGTTTATTCAAGAAAACAAAGATTGGTGTCATGGTAAGAAATTCAAGTAACAAATCTCCATGGTCTACACTGACTACACTAGACCCGTGGAACTGACGACAAAACGTTCAAACCTAAAGTGAAACCACAAGCCCCAGGCAAGTGGTCTCACTTCAAAGTTCTCAACAGTTTGTCATCACTCCCAAGTTCTAGAATTGTATAGACCATGGAAAATTGTCGTCTATTGCCTTTTACAATAACGTAGCCATTTCCGGGGAAATTCCTTGGAAAATTGGGCTAGAAAAATAGGAAAAAAATCATGGTGTAATTACGCCATTTTCATGGTCTTTTACCCTCATAGACCATAGCTCTTGGCCAACCAGTGCGCGAAAAATCTCTCTTTAGAAAGAGTTTAGGGTTGGTTTAATAATCTCTACAAACGAATCCTGGTTCCATTGTATGATTATGTGGTTCTGATTTAACATTTAAAATATGTGTTCGGTTGCATGGAGTTACTAGAAAGCTTAAGCAAAGACGACGGCGACGACAACGAGAACCGCAAAAAAACAATTGGTTTAGATTGCCAAAAAACTAATTTGCACGTGCATCACGATTTGTGCCGTACATTTCGTGGTCGTCACTGCCGTCTACGGTGAGAAATTTCCTAATTTTACGTTTCATTGAGGACGTAATCACAAGACAACGACTTCTCTTTTCTTTTTGTGAACTTAGATACAGTCCTTCAGAATTCAACTCCTGCAAAAAATCAACAACATTTGACAGATTAAAAGAGATGAAATAAGAGCGATAAAGTTTGAAACAGCTCAAATTCACTTTTTGTGTGACGTTTTCGCTGCCGTTGCCGCCATTGTTGCTTAAGCTCTCTATGGTCAAATGGTCAAATAACAAGAGACCCTGCACAATTGCCGAATGTTTTTAATGACTTTTTTTCTACTGTTGGACCAAAGCTGGCGTCTATGATTCGCACATCAAATCACCACTTCTCCGGCTTCTTGCCCCCGCGATAGTTCGCAAATTCGTGCAGTCATTTCACATGGAAACCTCACATTGACAATGCTGTAACAGTAAAAACCATTGGCGTTACTGCAAGACTGAGACATTTTGTCCCCCAGAGTACTCTTCTCAACCTTTATAGATCTTTAATCTTCCCGTATTTGTCTTATGGCCTCATAACCTGGGGTCAGGTTTCTAAATTACACAAGATTTTATTGAACGATTTCACACCGGAATACCTTGTGACGTATTTACTCGTTCCAGACAAATACATTCATATAACACAAGATCAGCTTCTGCTGGACATTTCCATATAAAACCGTCTAGATTAAACATTATGCGGAATTCTGTTTTTGAATATGCAACAATCATTTAAAAAGTAATACTAGCAAACTCTCTCTTAAAATGACTACGCATACAATATTAAAAGTAGTAATAAATTTATCATATACAATTACTTCTGCGACTTAAATAATTTCTTGCCAAAAATACCTTAAAATAATACAGAAAAAAAATATTCAAACCAACAAAAAGTATTGAAGGTGCTTAACTTATTCGTTTTTCCAAGCGGTCGAGTTGATACAGAACAGGGGAATTATCTTTGAGGGCCAAACTTGGAAGTTCGAAGGATGTACCTTTTACTTCCCTGGAGTACGTAATTCAGAATACTGTCCCTCGATGACCAGACCTGTCTGTTATGTATACAATGGAGCTATCTGTTGTGCTTCAGAATGCTCAGGTATTTATTTTTTGCGTTTCTTCTTGAACAAACCGCTGCGGCTAGACCTCCTCCAATTTGTGGGGTTTGAGTAATTCAACAGGTCCAACTGACCACTTTTAATTTTATTAGGGAAACTCTAATATTAACCATTTGGAAAACATCCAAGCAGTGACCGCGTATGCTTAGTAGAAGTAACCGTTTATTAGGGTCAAATTTACAGTAAATATGGCAGGCAAATTTCGGAAAAATGATAGGAGGTTTGACTGATTGGAATTAATAGATTGACTCCAATTATGTCCACCTTCTAATTAACACGAAAGAATTAATTGCAGTCATACAGGTGTCAGATGTAGTCTATTATCCATCAGGTAGGGGCTGGAAAACTGGCCTCCAAAACAATGGAAACATACACGTTTGTGTGGTTACAGGGGACACACTTTTCAAAGTAACGTGCACTGAAATGGAGTTTTGTTTTCAAGTTTTGAATACCTGTGGTTTGGTCGATCATCTCTCAAAAGAATTCTTTCGGAGGTGATGCTGAAATTTATCCTTTTCATATGCTCTTTTATGAGATACTGAGGGCATCTTAAATTTGAAAACAGTTTTTTGGGGGTGACGTCAAATGGCCAAAACAAACACGTCTAGGCAAAAAAGGTCTACTCAACCCGTCTTTAAGAGTGGCTAATATAACTGAGTTATCAAACTGATCATTTCCTGTACTATCCACCTCTTTCTCAAGTGTTGCAGCAGATAGGAAGTCAAATGAGAGGAAACCTGACTTACTGTCCCAGTGGCCGTCAGCTGGATTCAGATAGCTCTCGATGCAGAAATTCTTCCAATTGCTCACAAAATCTTAATATTGATAATTGTTTGTCAGGTGAGTGTTCAATCTGCTATCTTGTTAACCTCCAACGAGGTTTTTAGATACTAGTTTGTGTTGCATGAACGTTTTGCATATCTGGGGTCTACTTTCGCCGTAACAATTTTGAGGGTGTCTAGAGTTTACTCACGGAAAATTTTTGGGACTAACTTTTGCTGATTTTTTAGTCCACGCAATAAAATATTGAGAGGCGCCTGTGATCACTCTTTGAGCTACGGTTCGCTCGACCTAGAGATATTTCACTCAGGTCTTTTACAATTTTGAAGATTATACATCACAGCTCTTACAGAGGACTGACGACGAAGCAAAAAAGTTTCACCCATGCATCCTGTCATGCTCAATAAAACTCTATTCTCTTAGGGGCCGACCATTTAACTCTTGGGGGGGGGGGGGGTAATTTTGAAAAAAAATTCTTGCAAGCGCTTGTAAATGTAATAGAAAGCTTATGGGGAAAAAAGGGAAAAAATATCCTGCCCACCAGATTGCTAGAAGAAAAATTCTTGATGACCAGAAATCACCCACCCCACCCCCCTCAAGAGTTAAATGGTCGGCCCCTTATTACGGTATGATATCCGCTCAGGGTGCTATTACTGATTTCAACAAATGTACTATGAAAATTTGAAAAACGTTCTACGGTATACTGGAGCCATAAAGGGCCATTCCCACTCAGCTTGAAGGAGGAACTACACGATATGTAGCCCAACGCAGATTTTCTTAATGCAGCTCTGTTTTGCGTTCCTGATAGGCTACACTGTAGATGTTCTTTTAGACGCTCGGGCGGATGTTTTCTAGGAAAAGCTCAATGATTGTTGATTATATATAATCCAGTAACGCGATTTTTACATAAAAAAGAAAAGTTATTTATTGTTCATTGGACGGAAGGGAGTATTAATGCGGATTGAACGCCACTCTTTTGTTGTTACATTATAGTCACTGGTAAACTACACGCGCCTGCGCATTAGGCCCCGTCTGGTCCTGTGCGGTCCTGTCAGACTAGCTGTTTTCACAACAAACCTTCATTTGATAAGACACAGTTTACTCCATATTGGCGGAGAGCGATCTGTTAGTAAACTGGGAAAAAGTTTAACCCGCAAAATTTTCTTGCTACACGGTATCCATAAGACAAAAACGAATAAGCATCATAAAGGATGAAAAAGTAGCAGATGAAACCCATAAAGATAAAGGTTTGTGTACTTTAGGAGTCAGTGGATAGTGATGAAGTTTTCCACTTCTTCCTTCTCCGTTACATTTATTTTATTTGTGCTCTTTTATTATCAGTTGTCACGTGTCAAGATGAGGACTCTAATCAATATTTTGAAGGGACCACGTGGTCTGTTGGTTCCTGCATAAAGTGCTCATGCGCGCAAGGAAAGATTCATTGTTCAAGAACAGCAGTTTTGATATCATTCCTTCAGCTTTCGGGACTTGTGGTAGTTGCAAGTGATCAGACATTCATTGAGTATTGCAATCAAACAAGTTGTAATGTGGCTTCTTTTGTTAAAGCAAATAAAGAAATATGTTATGGTAAGTTTCGACAGAAACAGCATTAACCACACTGCAGCAAGATTAGCTCAGTCGGCTGAGCGCTTAGTTCACAGCAGCGCGGGAGATCGCAGGTCCTATTCCCGGGGCCGGACAAATTCTCCAGGTCTTAAAAATAGAGATACTATTTTTATCATACTGGAAACGGCTAGACCTTCGCCTGGCTCGGATGACTAAGCTATACATAAAATAGCGGTGCCTCTCCAGCAGCGGACGTAAAATGCTATCCTTATTTAGTTTTTGAGTGCTAAATACGTTGACATTCAAATAGAGTTCTTTTTTTCAAAACGGGGGTCGCGAGACAGCTTTCCAGCTCATTTAGTTACTATTGCCGATTACTCTTCTTTCCTTGAGCACTATGAAACTTAACGTTAGCGAAGAAATTACTTAACAAAATAGAAGCTTCTCTAGATCGAAAATTTTGCATGCACTTGTTGTAATTGGAGGTAATTTACCTCAGAAGTGACTAATGTGTTAAGTGCTGCAATTATGGTAAACTGAGGTTGNCCCCCCCCCCCCCCCCCCATTTATAAGCCCACTTAAAACCCCTCACGAAGTTGCAGGAGCCCAGAGTTTATAAGCAGAGGTTTACGGTACTTCAGTAATTTTATTACGAGGCGACCATGAGCGCTTTGACGATTTTACATCAGTCTTTTCAACCCATGCAAAACCTCCTATGGATAATTGTACTGGAGAGTGATTTGTGAACTTTTCAAGCCCTTTCGAACCTTAAAGTTCTTAAAATGGACAAAAAACCGTAAAATTTTTATTCATGTATTTTGGAATTAAATAACCAAATTTTTGTTGGGGAAATTAATTGAATTAATCTACTTCATGCAATTAAGCTTGCAGATGGAATGGCAAATTGTATTACGAAGGCGACCATTGGAAAGAAAATGGCGTCGAGTTTTACTGCATTAGTATTTCAAGTCAAAAAGTGAGACCTGGCTGTTATGTTGAAAACGGACGAATTGCGTGCACTGGAGCAATCCCAGGTTGGTTTTGTTTTGTTTGGTTTTTCACTAATCTTTATGAAGCCAATGACTGTTTCTTTTTTTAACCCTGTGTTTCAGGTTCACTAGATCAGTTCACACTTCTGCTCTACTGAACTCAGTGAACTTCATTAAAAGTTCAAAGAAAAAAAGTTTTGGAGTTTTGGCAGAATTTGTACGAGAAGTACGCGTCAATTGGGCACTACAATAAAATGATCATAGACATCCCGGCTTTTGCTGATTTTCTGATACGGGGACTGATACCGACCCCATCGTCTCATTTAAAAAGGGAACATTTACTGGACTTGGACAAGAGTCATTTAATTCACTGCTTTGGTTTCAGGAATACAAAACTTGTCATTAATATCAAGAGACGCTCTTTTTCTGTGCGACAGTGGTGATGAGATAAGATCGCTCGGTGACAGATGTAACATTAAACCAGAATGCGCCGACCTCTCAGATGAGAAGGACTGTGACAACTGTAAGTGTAAGACTCTTATTCTTGGGAAAAAAGGGACTACACTGTAAGAAAGTCTTGTTCAGCTGTCGTTGTAATCGACTCTATACTCCTCGTGGCCAACTGCATCCTGCATGTTAGTGTAATTAAATCATGTGATAATTTAAGCTGTAGTGGGGTTGACCTTATCGCTGTTCTCAACATAAGTGATAAAAATTTGCCTTAATGACTCGCGATTGTAAAGGAAAAACGGCGATAAGAAGGCGAACCACTGACCAAAAGGTTTGATATACAGCTATTTCGTAAAAGATTGTCGGAAAAAGTGCACGCGACAATCCCGAGAGGTATTGTGGGTGGCTTTGAGATCACTGTTCTTCATAGAAATTTTGAAAGAATGGCACGAGAGGCCATGGACTATGTTTCCGAGTGCTAAAGCGAAGCAGCAAAAGTAGGTTCGACAGCTACAGTGTCAGAAACAGTGTATTGATGATATCCCAAATTGCCTTTCGGGATTGTCGCGTGCACTTTTTTTCCGACCACCTAACAATAATACTAATACTACTACTACTACTAATAATAATAATAATAATAATAATAATAATAATAATAATAATAATAATAATAATATTTATTCAGGGAGCCCACTCGCCTAAGCGGTTTTCATTGGGACCCTGAAAATAATAAATGACAAAATGACAAAAAAAATAAATGCTAAATGCCCTACTTAAAAAAATTCAAAACTAACAGAGATAAAAATTGATTTTTTCATATCAAACTAATTTTAAAATAGTTTAAAATATGGGATTAGGTATCATTTACAAAGTTTTAAGCTTTTCCTTAAAACGGGAAAATGATTTGCTGTTTTTAGTGTCATTGTCTGGGTTGTTCCAGTCGTTAGGGGCTTGAAAAATGAAAGTTTGCTTGCCCCAATTAGTGTGCACGCAAGGAAGGTGTAAATCATTACTTCGTCGAGTTTGATAAACTGATGAAAATTACTATTGCTCCTGATGTCAAATTTAAAGTCAATTTCCCCTGATATAAGATATTTTTGCATCATATCACAGCGATGGAAGTGTCGTCTCTTTGAGAGGGTCTTTAGGTCCAATCGATCTAGTGACCTTCTCAAAGAGATGACACTTCCATCGCTGTGCTATGAATGATGAAAAAGTATTTAAAATATTCCAAAGTCCTTTGCTTTAGAAAAGCATGATTTTTTATATCAAGTATACATAGAGCCTTCAAATTTCAATAACAATCTGAAAACAGCGATATCTGAAAATAATACTGCTGAAAATCAGTGCGGGTCCTCTAACCTTCCAGGTCTTCCAGTGCAATCACACTCCCAAATTACAGTTGCGGTGATTTGCAAAACACCGGAAAGCAAATCGTACCAAGGAGCTTAATCCCTGAATTGAATGTCATCCCCAGACTCAAATTACAATTTCGGTGATTTGCAAAACACTGAAAAGCAAATCGTAAGGAGCTTACTTCCTGAATGTTGTCCCCAGACTTAAAACTGAGCTAAAAGTAATTTAACTCACTCTGGGGATGAAGAGATAAATCAATCCACTTATAAAATTTCCCATTTTTTGCTCTCATTATTCAAGAGTCAGAAAAATGGTAGTACCCAAAAGTACCCTATATCTATTGAACCATTTTCCGTAACAAAGTAAGAGGTTCATAGCTGAAAGTAGGGACAATAGCCTGGGACATTTTTGCCAGATCATACTCAGCTCGATGCATTTTTACATCTTGTCTGATCATATAATTAAGTCTTCAGGATGTCGAGCCTGCACAGCTGAAATGTTAGTAAAAAAATCGGGGGTAAAGACTGTGGTGTTACGTCTGGCCTTGTCACGGGAGTTTTTCCATTAACTCAACTCAGTGATGCCGCAGGATAACGGTGAGATCAGCAGCTGTCAGTAATAATGATAATAGAAGCTGACCACTGACCACCCGGAAACATTAAATTATTCTTCCTGCATTCTAAACACGCCTGTACCTCATAAATGTTTGCCCATAATAGTTTACAAATAAACAAAAATGTACATGTGTTAAAATGCTCTCAGACTTACTATTCTGTGTTATTTGCTCCAAAAATGTTTTGTTTTGCAGATTATTGTCCTTATGAGATGGCGCATAGCTTTCTTTGGAATAGAACTCAAGAGGGAAAGGAAATTTTAAAGCAGTGTTCAATAGTAGACCCCTCATGGACAGGTTAGGCTTAGTGTCTCACAGATCATTGTTGCTAATTCAAAATATTTTCTTCCATTGTAACAAAGATGTTCCTAATCTTAACGGACTACCTTCAATAAGTTGAGCCCCACGAATGGTCTTCGTAGTTTTGAGAAGCGTGCAATGATCGTTCAGCGAAGAAATCTCATTCCTTGGAATAGTGAAATGATAGGGTTTATGCAAGAAGACGTTTCCTCAGCGCGCATATACCGCATTTCTTGAATGCAATCTTTATTAACATTGGGAATACATTACACTGAAGCGATGTTAACGAGCAACATAGCTCTCTTACAACCCTAATGCAGCTGAAACTGAAAAATATGCAGGAGAATATTGAAAATATTAAGGTGTGTGTTTGTATAATTAAACGCGTTACACAGAACGGAAGGTGGTAGCTTTCTTATTTGAGATATCAAGACATCAAGACAAATTTTCTAGGGTTGAACAAAGGTAAAAATTCTGGTCCTACTTACATTCAACTTTATTTTTCATCATCTAGGAGAGTTTGGTAGTAAATGCAGCCGAAACGCTGT